TGTTCAGTGACCTTTTCTTCTGTCCATCCTGTCCACCCTCTCCTCCTCCACCACAGTCTGCCCTTGTCACCCCAGGAAGCCACTCCCTGTCCAAGGCCCCAGATTCCCAACTCCCACCTTCCCTCTGCCCAGCAGCCCCTCCTGTGCTATTGCCCCTCCTTCCCACGGGCCACCGTTTTTCTGTCCCCTCTCTCCTTTTTCCACACACGCCTAGGCGGAGCCCAGCTCTGGCCTTCTTCTCTGGGCTGCTGGAGAAGCAGGAGGGCACATTGGAAACACCAGGGCCAAACTGTCAGGGTTTGAATCTTGGAACATCCTCTTAATAGCTGTGTGAGTGCGAAAATCACTTCACCTCCTGTGTCTCAGTTTCCTCATCTGTACAAAATGGGGAGGATATAATTGTATCTGTCTTACAGGAGTGCGATGAGTATTAAGATAATATATGTGAAATGTTTCGAACAGGACCTGATAAACCAGCAAATACCATGATTCTTATTGCTTTGGGAGCCTAGGCAGGAGAAAAAGTGGATGGGTTGAGATGTAGGAACTGGCGCCCTGACTGCTGTGGCTCAGTGGGTTGGGCACCGTCCCACAGACCGAATGGTACTTGGTTTGATTCCTGGTCAGGGCACATGCCTGGGCTGCAGGTTCGGTCCCCCAGTTGGGGGTATGCAAGAGACAACAAATCTCACATCAATGTTTCCCTCTCTTTCTCCCTTTCTTTTCCTCTCTTTAAAAATAAGCACACAAAATCTTTAAAAATAAAAGATATGGGCCCTGGAGGAGGAGAAAAGGATTCTGTTATGGGCAGAGAGAATGACATGAGTAAGAATGGGGCAAGAGATGGAGGAGATGTGAGGCTGAAGCTTTTTCTTGTTTGAAGATGGGCCCCAATGGGAGAGTCTAATGACCCAGCAGCGTGTGAGTGAGGTTCTTGAGGAGGAGGCTTAGGGCTGGGGGTCCGAGAGGAAGTGGAGGGCTGACCCCCGGAAGGGCATCGGGGGAGACGGGGTACAGGGGGCAGTGCAGACAGAAGGAGCATAATTCTGACATAAGACAGTGAGGGGCTTTCTGGCCCTTCCCTTTTATTTCACTGCGGCCAGAAATACACCATTAGCTGTGCACCTTTCTGGGACGTCTGTGTGAGTGTGTGGATGTGTGTCTCTCTGTGTCCACGTGCATCTAGGGCTGTGTGGTGTGTCACAAGTGTGTGTGTGTGCTGGCATGCGTGTTTGTGCCTATGTGCCCATGGATGTGCCCCTGGGTCTGGATGTGTGTTTGTGAGGATGGGTGTGTCCTGAGTGTGCGTGTGGGCATGTCTAGTGTGCCTGTGCCTGTGTCTGGTGTGTGCGAGTTGTGGCTGCGGTCAAGAAGGCCTGCTGTCACCCTCGTGTGGAGTAGCAGACAAGCGCCGGCAGCTATTGGTGGCTCTGTGAAGCGTGTGGTCACGAGTGTGAGAAAAGCCCAGTAAGCCCATGCCCCCTGCAGTGTGGGAGGCAGGCTGGAGGGGTTGGCTGGGTTGGGGCTGGCCAAGGGAGCGGACAGAAGGGGCAGTGCCCAAGGTCGGGTTGCACCCCCAGCCTAAGAAGACAGCTCCAGTGACGGTGGCTCCCCACACAGCCCTGGTGACCCTTGGCTCTTCCATGCACTGTGTCCTCCTTGCTAACCAGTTCGTGCTTGCAAGGCATTCCTGGGATGCTCGAGCTCTCACTGGGTGCATGTGAGGGGTGAGGTCTGCTGAGAATATTTGGGGGCTTGGTGTTAGGGCAGGCGGGTCCTCTGGGGCTGGTGGGTTTCTGAATGACCTCCAGGGTCTGCCCGGAGACAGCTGGAGCGGCAGGGCGCCATGAACCCATGGCTGAGAGGGAGGAGGGTAGGAGACCGCCAACTGGTGTGGGTCTGGGGTTGCTCCGCCCCCGCATGGCTCTGCACACAGTTGGGGTGTTGCTGCCACCTTGTGGCCGGGCCGGGGATACCCAGGCCGGTGCTCAGGATCGAGGACTTAGCATCCCCTGGTGGCCAAGCAGTGTCTACGCCAGTGGAAGCCTGATCCCTCCCTCCCGTTGTGCAGCTCTGGGTCCTGCTGCACGTGATGGAGTGAGGAGGAGACGCCAGGCGGAAATTCCCTTAGTGAGCCATGCGTGTTCTCTGAAGAGGATGACCTCAGAGGAGATGGGGAGAGGGAGAGGAGTCCCCTGCTGGGCCCAGGGCTCACCTGAGTCTCTTGTGCCCCACTCCCACCAAGGGGGTGGGGGACAATGGGAGGATGGAATTGGCAAATGGGACGGGAGAGGGTGCTGAAGGACTGTTTCCTCATCCACTGCCTGCCCACCTCTGTCCTGGCCCTCCCGTGGGAGGTCAAGCCAGTGGGGACAGTGGGGAGGAGGAGGGTTTGGCTGTGTCTTGGGGGTCAGAGGTGACTGAAGCTCATATCTGACCACCTTGCTGAACCTCAAAAGTCATCTCCCGAGAGGACTTCAGGCCTCCTGGGGCTCGCAGGCCTCCAGGAGGACCCTGGGCCCATTCTCTCCACCACTCGGGGAGCCAGGCTGGCGTCTGGGGAGGTCTGAGCTGCTCTGAGCTCACAGGCCTGGCAGGGCCTTCACGTGGGCCGCCCCAGAGCCCCCATTTGGAAGACTGTCTGGGGAAGGCTGCTCAGGGTCAGTGGTTATTTCCCCAACTTGGTGGGCCTGTCTGACCTCTGGGGTGATCCTGTGGGGACCTTATGGGGTCCCTGACCCAGAGAGCCCCTCCCTCCAGACTATACCCACAAAGTATGGAGCAGATGAAATGGGGCCAGGACAGGCCTCATGAGGTGGTTGCAGAGAGGAGGGGGACTGCCCACCATCCTCCCAACCCTGACACATTCTACAGGCTCACACATGTACACACCGCCTCTCCCCAGACACAGATACCCACTTACACCCCCTCACACAAATGGACAGAGATGCACATGCTCAGCCCCACAGCCAGGCATCTACACAGAAACACATGCAGATGTGTATGCCCAGAGACACGCCACTCATGCAGACACCACCTTTACACAGACTCACACGCTTACCCACCTGCCCAAACACACACACACACACACACACACACACACACACACACACTTTCCTGGGTGGCAGTTCAGTCTGCTATCTCCAAGCCCTAGGGCCATATAAGGCTTGAGGCTGGGGTTGGGACTGGAGCTGAGTCTAAAACCACCTCAGTGAACTCAGGCAGCGTGAGGTCTCAGGACTGGGCCTCTGGAGGTCATGCTGGGGGCATGCGGGTGGTTCTGGTCATTGCCTGGACTATGTCACCTGCCATCACCACCCAGAAGGAAAACTCCCTCTGATGGATGTGTTGTGCATGTCTACCTGCCCAACCCAGGTCTGGTTGTCTCTGAGAGACTACCCCCAACACACACACACACACACACACACACACACACACACTCACATCCATGCTCAGACTTCAGGAAGATGACCCAGGGCGGTCCTGACTGTGTCCGAGCTGCAGGCAGCTCCAGCTGGGCTTCCAGGCGTCCCCCTTGCTGAGCAGTTGGCCACAGACCCCGCCTCAGGCTCCACTGAATGTGTCCGGGACCAGAGACACTGTCTGCACTGCACTCCCTCTCACCCCGTGAGCCCACAGCCGGGGGCAGCTGGGTCACCAGCCCTCCCTGCCTGCTCTCTCAGCCCTGGTCCTAGCCCTCTGAGGCACTCACACCTGCCACCCCACTGTGCACACTGGACAGCCTCTCAGGCTCTGGTCACAGACTCCTCCTGCCACTCTGGGTGCCTCTGTCAGGTGGCCCAGGCCACTGCAGCTGGAACTGTGCTCAGGTTCTTGGATGTGTGTGGCCCGAACAGGCAGGTGGCAGCCTCAACTCCTTGCTCCACATTTACCAGTTTCCAGAGCCCATGGCAGAGTAAAAAGGGAGATGGAGCTGCTTGCACCAATGCAAGCTTGGCTGGGATCCAGCAGCATGTCCCACCTCGGAGACCACAGTGCCTCCTCCTCAGGGGTCCACTGCATCTTCCCTAGCAAGTGGGCATAGACGGAGAGCAATCCCCTGGGAGAGTTCCACAGACAGACTGCAGGGGGACCAAGGAGGGCACACAGCAGATTCTTGGGAGACACGGGCTAGCAGAGAAATGAGACCCAAAGTAGGAGGGCAGACAGAGATAGAGCCCCAGAAACAGTCAGGCAGCACTTCCCACTACAAACAAGACCCCCAAACAGCCACTGTCACACCCACACTCAAAGCTCCAATGAGAACTTTCTACAAGACCTTTCTGGAATCACAATGGTTTTTGGAGAAGTTTCCTCTGCATGTCTCCACCCTCTCCCAGAGCTGGTTCACCCAGGGACAGACAATCCAGACAACTTCGAGGTGGCTTTGCCAGGTGAGTGGAGCCAGGCATTGAGGGCAGGGTCAGAGGATCTGCAGAGAACAGCATTGGTCCAAAGCCCCGCTGAGCCCAGAGGTTCAGCAAGCCAGGGATGGCGTCACTCGCTGCCCAACAGTGCCACACCCATTGGGAGCCCCATACAGGGCAACACGGAGCCCAGTGGCAGCCCCAAGTGGCAGCTTGCTTGCCTAAAGAGCTCGTCACTACTCTGGTGGTCCTCAGAGGGCCCCCACAAAGAGCACTGATGAGAAGAGACCCCAAGTGGGCCTCCATGGGGACAGGTCTATCTTTTTCAGGATGAGGGTGCTGGTACTGAGACAGGAGGACGCAGTTAACTGAGTCCTGGCCTCAGAGGTCCCAAATGGAAGCCACTGGGTTCCCTGCTCCTATCGAACACCGGCCACTTCTGCCCTGGATTTCCGGGCAGCCCAGCCTGCAGGAGCCTGGCCCTGGCTGCTCTGGGGAGGGAGAAAGAGCCCTAGACAGCAGCAGGAAGGGGCCAGGTGTTCCCACACCAACACACAGAGTGTAGACACTGCTGCTCTGGAAACCATGTGCTTTATTTGGAACCTCATTCCAAGGGAACCTCCTCCTGGGTCATAGAAAAGCTGCAAACCATTTGGTTTGGTACAAGGCAATGGCTAAGGGACTGTAGGAAATCCCTTACCGCTGGGCCCTCCTCTGCTGGGCCTCAGGCTTCCCTGGTCATCCTGACTCTCCACTGAGCTGAGCTGTGTGTGGGCAGCTGGGGCTCCTGGGGTATCCAGCTTACACACTCCCTCTTGTAAACCCCTCAGCAGAGGAGCAAGGAAGTAGCTATGAAACTCAGGCCAGGGTCCCTAACCAAGGCCTGGGCCCCTGTCCCCCACCAAAGGCCTGCGCCAGCCACAGTGCCTTCTGTCCTCAGAGCCCACGTGCTCTGGGCGCATCTAGGCTCCTGGCTGAGGGACCCCGCCCTGGGGACAGGTGAGTGGGTGGGCAGGGCGCCCACACCCCGCCGCTGGCCGTCAGTACAGGTCAGCGAAGGGCTTGGAGTAGTTGAACATCAGGTAGTCCATGTAGTAGAAGTCGTAGGCGCGCTGCCGCTGCGGGGCCGAGAGCTGCGCGAAGTACTGGCGGGTGATCCGCGCGGTGGTCCGCGCCTCCTGCGAGTGCCGGTCCTTGAACTGCGGGAAGGTCAGGTTCTGCGGCGCGTGGACGAGGCGCAGGAAGAAGTTGGCATCATCCTCCATGCTCTCGAACTTGCCCACAAAGTCATAGTCGATGAGACAGGGGCTGCAGAGCCGGCTGACGTGGTCCCAGTGGATGTCCATGCCCACCGGCCGGTGCACGTCCAGCAGGTACTGGACGAACTCCGGGAAGCGCACGCCGGAGCCCGTCCGAAGGGCCTCCCGGGAGGCGTTGGCCCGGTACCGCGCCAGGATGGCCTTGCCGAAGACGGGGTGATAGTAGCTGTTAGGGTGCTCGAACTTGTCGCGGAAGGCGGAGACCAGCCTCTCGAAGGGCTCGCGGACGAAGAGCATCTTGGTGTAGGTGCTGAGGCGGTGCAGGATGCCCTGGCGGTCGAAGGTGTCCAGCCGCTTCAGGGCGCTGCTGTAGTGGACGGTGTTGTGCTGGATGTCGGCGGTGGACGAAGCCAGCCCGGCCAGCACCATGAGCACCCGCTTCCAGTTGGAGCAGCCCACCTTGGGCACCTCGCAGTACAGCACGCGGTGGCGGTCCTCCACGAAGATGCGGGACACGTGGCGGGGTGTGACCGCCCTGCGGCTGCCGCTTGCGCGGTACTTGGCGCACGCCTCCCACATCACCCGCTTGCGCTCCTGCTGCCTCTGGTGCAGGCTGACCCAGTGGCCATCCAGGGCCAGGGCTGCTGTCCGGACAAAGGCACCGGCCGAGCTGTTGGCCGCGATGGCCACTGCAGCTGGCATTTTCTTGATAAGCAGCCGGCGGCGGCGCTGCCTTGGTCGCAGACGGGCCCCCAGGCGTGCTTGAGGTTGGCCAGGCACCAGCGGGTTGAGGCCTCTGGGTGCTGGGCCGGGCACGTCTCGGATGACCCTCTCTGCGGGGGCCTTAAAGTCACCATCCTGGGAACTGCCTGGTGGGAAGTCCTGGAGCAAGAAGAAAAATGGTTATACTAGGGTGGACAGGTCAGCTGGGTCCTGAGGGTCACAGAGGCAAGGGCCTTGCCATGCCGAGGTCACTGCCCCCTCTGTGACCCGAGTTTTTCCTTGATGAGGGAGAGGGAGACAGGCTGCCCCTGCAGGACGTGACCTCCCTGGCCCAGCCCTCGCCCAGCCCTCGCAGTACCCCTCCTCTCAGCGGGCCACGTCTGTGGTGCAAATGCCATTTTGCCCACTAGATGGCGTAGGCCTCCCAGGAAGCTCGGCCTAGTGAGGAGAGAGCAGGGGTGCGATGCTGATGGCTTGGGGGAGGCTGGCTCAGATTTACTGAGTCAATTAGCGCGCTCCAAACAGGAAATTCACGGGCCCACAGCCCGGATCTTTGTTCCCAAGGCTGGTGGGAAGGACCGGACGCATTTTTCTTTCCAAGAATGGATTTAATGTGAGCTCCAAATTTTCTTCCCTGCCTTCACCAACTTTCCCCAGGCTGCCTGTGCTGAGATTTATCTGACTCTTAGCACTCACATTGTGGGGCTGCTGTAGCCTGATGTCGAACTTTACACCTGAAAAGAAAACAGAGAGGACAGTATTAGCGGTGGGAGAACCACGTGGTCCCCAGGGAACTGCTTATGGCCTCTTGACTGTGGGCCCCGGCAGGGAGGGCACTCCGGGCAGGCTCTGTAGAAAGGCACTTGGGGTGGGGCGGGAGGGGAGGCACAGCTCAGTATGAGCACCCCCTCCCCTATCCACATGGAAAATGGTGGTGTGGGAAAGACGGCCCCTGCCTGCCTATGGATGCTCGTTTCTCAGTGTCTCAGCTCCTGAGGTGACCTGGAAGGCCTGGCCAGGTATCCTGCTCGAGTGTGCCCACACACCTGCCCAGTGGAGCAGCCAGGAACCCACAGCCCAGTCCCCCCCACCCCCCACACATGGTCATCAAACCCTCGGGGAGAGGACACCGGAATGTTCTGTCCATGCTCTCTCAGTGCCCTGTCAGCCCTGCAGTTGGTGCAGACTCTCCATGTTGAAAAACGACACACTGGCACCCACGCCTTGGCACACACCAGGCCTGGGACTGGGACCCACTCGTTCCCCGTGAACTGGGGCCTCCCCACTCACTCTGCAAAGTTCCCTGACTCAGCCACCCACTTTGTGGTTTTGGCCTCTCAGCTGGTGCTGGAGCTCCAGGCGTGAGCTGACCACATCCTGCTCTCTCCCAAAGGGCTGAGCAGAACCCAGGCAGAGGGTCCAGGGGACACTCACTGGTGACTGTGGGAAGGTGGAGAGAGATCAGTGCATCACTGGCCACACTCCAGAATGTCCCTCTGCCCCCAGGGTGGCCCTGTGCCTGGGCTGGGGCTGGGCTCAGCCAGGATAACAAGCACTAGGGAGGCAAACCTTTGGCAGAGGACATGACTCTGCCTCACACCTGGTTCGGTCTGTTTTGGGGAATGTCCTGGGAAGACAAAGGGATTCCTTTTGGGAACTTATTTAGCGGTCTGGGCCTCCTTCCCCCGTCCCTGATTGGCCATTGAGGCATCAGGGGCTCTTCCTGCTCCTGTGCCACGTGACTGGCTTCCGCTCTGAGGCTTTGCCAAAAGCCAGTCATAATCTTGAACCAATCACCCTTTGAACAAGTGGAGAGCTAGGGCTCCCAGCTGACACGGTGGGGCTTGGTGTCTGACCGCACCTGACTGAGTTCTGGCAGCCGCCTGGGGTGGGGTGTTCTGGAGGCCCTGCCTTCCCCTGCTGTCTGTGTACTTGGCAGAGGTCCAGTGGCTGGAGGCCGGCTGGCAAGGGGACATCCAGGTCCTCTGCCCCTGACCCAGGAACTCCAGTGATTTCTCTGTGAAGTCCAGTTGTACAGGTTCAGCCACTGCTATGGCCCTGGCTTCATCCTGGTCACTCTGAAGATGTACCCACACACCTCCTTCATTCATCAGCAATTGACCAGGGGGCACCTGAGGTTACCCTGGGCTGGGAAGCCGGAAGGCCCTGAGCCTGCTGGGCTTTTCTCAAGTCTCGAGAGAGAGGGAATGAAGGAAGAACTTGGGCACACCGCATCTTTCTAGGGCTGCAGTGTTATTCTCTGGTCCTTTTGGGCTCAAAACAGGGGTGTGCCCTTCTGTAGGCAGAGGACAGAGTGTCCACACCTTCCTGAGCATTCCCAAGGTTATGTGCATCTGTGTGTGAGGTGGGTGGGCTCAGCAACAGGCCTCTTGGACTTTTCCATGGAGGTTGAGGGGAAGCTCCGTGTTGAGCTGTTTGCACCCTGAGGGTGTGGGACCTGTGCAGGGTGCGCCTGACCCTGAGGAGGAGCCTTTAGAATGGAGCCTTCTGAGCCTGGAGCCTGCTTCCTTCCAGCGCCAACCCCCCCGCCCCTCCTCCTCTTCATGGCAGCCACCCTCAGTGGGAGCTTCTCGAGCTCATTTTTTCTGGCATGTGCAGCTTCCTCCGCAGACAATGATCACAGGTCCCTTTTCCAGAAGGGACCTGCCACACACTCAGTTTTCCTCCACGCTGCTGGGTTTCCTTAATTATTTTCTTCTGGTGGCGGCAGCTGGCTCTGCTAAATCACCTCTCCTCCTCAGAATTTCAGACACAGGAATTTACTCTGCTTGTCAATCCTGTCAGCTTGTCAAGGTGCAGTGGCGCTTATTTATAGTCATTTTCTGGAGCACGTGAGTCCTGCCAGACTCGCCCAAAGTGGGGCTGAGGAGCCACTTACCAAAGGCGTCCTGCTAGTGGGTGCAGCCGGATGATGGTGTGCTTATTGGGGTCACAGCCCTTACGGTCATGACCTCCCACGTGCACTGGCCCCACAGCCTGGAGGGGGGTGGGCTGGGGGCCAGTACCACTCGATCTGTGCAGACCCGACAGGAGTTTCCAAGGCTGGCCCGTGCGGAGGCTGGTGGGCCCAAAGCCCTGGGCATGGGCTGAAGAGAAAGTTCTAGCTGGGCTGAGCCCAGCCCTGGGTGAGTCTCTTGACCTTTTGGCCACTTTTGTTTAACAAAGCCAACCTGGCTGCAAGTCCCTCCATTGAAAAGAAAAGTCATCGTATGGGGAGACTGAATTTGCCACAGGCTGCATGTTCCCCGCCCTTAACCTTATGGCAGCCTGTTGGGCAATGACTGCCCCTGACCCACGTGGCCACTTTGAGCACAGGCAGGATTTTAACAAAGGAAATGTAAAGAGCTCTCCCTATCACCAGAGGCCCCGTGTCCCTGCTTCTTGCATGGAGGATGCTGCTCTTCCACGCACTGCTTGCACAAAGGCTGAAGCAAAGACCACCCCAGCTCTGAGCAAGGGGAGGCCAGAGCCTTGGGTGTCTTGAGGCTGGGGTCTGTGTGTCCCGCAGTGGGCTGCACTTCAGGACCACGGACAGCTCTATGGGAGCCCAGGCAAGGCAGCTAAGAGCCCTGCCGCAGAGGAAAGTGGTGTCACCAAGTCACCAGAATTGGTGCCATGAGGGACTTATGGGGTACTTGGCCTCAATATAACCACAGCCAGCCCCTCCCAAGCCCCCAGAAGAAACAATCTAGATAAAAATAGGGGGCTTCCTGAGCAACACAAGCCGTGACCTCTCATCCATCCAATGTCTCACCAATGTCGTCAATGCCACCATGCACATCCCATCTCACCCATCCCCACCCTGGGACTGGGACTCCCAAGGCCAGTCACATACATGCCACTTTCAGTGTCTGAGCTACCTGTCCCCTCCTTTCTTTTCCTTCCTTCCTTCCTTCCTTCCTTCCTTCCTTCCTTCCTTCCTTCCTTCCTTCCTTCCTCCTTCCTTCCTTCCTTCCTCTTAATCCTCACCCAAGGATATTTTTTATTGATTTTACAGAGAGAGGGAAAGAAACATTGATGTGAGAAAGAAGCCATCAATCAGTTGCCTCCCATATGTGCTCCAACTGGGGACTGAACCCATGCACTAGGCATGTGCCATGACCGAGGATCGAACCTACAATCTTCTGGTGTACGGGACAATGCTTCAACTAACCGAGCCACCTGGTCAGGGCCGTTCCCTCCTTTCAACATAATGTGAACAGTCTTTAAGGGAGCCCCATCCCCTTGCACTTTGGTAAAAATAAACAACTGCTTCCCCTTTCTGGACAGACGGCATCCAGAGAGCGGCTGGAACACACACAACACACTGAAAGTGAGCATCGGGGAGGACAAACCAGGTGTGAGTTATTGGGACTGCCCACTGTGCTCTGCACTGTGAACCCTTCATAGGTTTTCTTCTGAGTGTTTGGGTGAGAAGCCTCCTGGTTACCTGCCATGGGGAGGCAAGGACTAAGAAGAGGGCTTCACTGGGAATGGGAGCTGTCAGAGAGGAGGGTCCCTTGCCCAATCCTATTCCAGTCACAGGAGGGGGTCCTGCTGGGTTCGACTCAAAAGCTCAAAATCCTTGATGCCCAGAACCCACTGGAAATGAGGGCTGAGGATCACCAGCCTTTTAGTCTGTTGGTGTAGACAAGTGACCCTGACATGGGTCAAACCAGGACCCACGTGCCCGGGAAGAGCTGGAAGTGGCTCCCGAGCCCATGGTTGGTCACGTTTAAGGTGAGTGACTCTGTTCTGGTTGCTCAAGTCCCAGCTGCAGGCCCTGGCAGGCAGTGGGGAGAGGGCCCTGCCTCTCCGGACACTGTGCGTTGGGGGGAGGTAAGGCTCTGCCGAAGGGCCAGACACACAGCGAGGAGCAGAGATGGGAGAGAACTGACGGGGCCAGGAGGAGCCACCACGTATGGTGTAAGTGTGAGGTCCTTGCGCTGTGTGGACTTTCAGACTCACGGTTTCTGGATCTCTGGAGCTTCTGGAACTGAGCTGCCTTTTCCGTGTCCTACATCTTCTCATGGTTGAGCCTGTGTGGCCACATCCACCTGTGTCATCCACCCACTTAGGCTGCCCCTCAGGCCAGGAACCGTCCAGGGGTTTCAGGCTGGCCTGAGTCAGGGGAGAGCCTTGAAGGTGAGGTGCCCACTGCGTCTTGGCTCTCCCAAGGGTGAAAGCTTGAGTCCAAGCTTCGGTCCCACCCCAGACTTACTCGCAGTTGTTGGGACAAAAACCAGTGTGCTGCTCTCCGCCTTCCACACCCCAGTTAGAAAGCAGCAGCTCCTGCACCCTGCAACGTGTGTGCTGCATGAAAGGCCTCCTGCATGGGGCGCCCCGAACATGTTCATCAGTGTGTGGGACTTACATGGTGGTGACGAGCCCCAGGGTGTGACGCCAGGGTGCTGGCAGGAGAAAGCACAGCCAGGGTGGGTGTTCTGCGCTCGGGGGAGACAGCCTTGAGGGAACTGCCAGGCCCCACTCCATAGGAGTATGGGAGGCTTCTGAATGACAGCCTGTTATTAGGGTCTTCCAGAGAAGCAGCCAATAGGATGTATACATGCAACAGTGGGGGAGGGATTTATTTTCAGGAATTGGCTCCTGTAATTGCAGGGCTGGCAAGTTTGAAACCTGCAGGGCAGGCCAAGGCTGGAGACCCAGGGGGGTGCTGATGCTGCTGCCTGGGTCGGGGGCAGAATCCTCCTTTCTCGGTGACCTCAGTCTTTCC